ATTCCTCTCTTACAGCCCTGCCAATGCATCCCCACCTGAACATGGCATGATCACCCCAAGAGAAAGATGCATCACTCCCTTTCCCAGCACCAAAGTTTCAAGATGGGGCCTGGTACAGTGCAGTGCCACCAGAGGATCTGCCCCGGGGAGGTGTATTCAGCTGGGAGAAGGGCACAGGGAGATGCAGGGGGGAGCTGAGACTTTTGGAGTTAAGCTTTAATCAACATGCTGGAGCTGGAGTGTGAGATTCCCCCCTTCAGCAAGGTCAGAGTGAGCCCAGGACATGATGCGGCAACTGTGTTTTTTTCTAAACCAGGCCTGGCAGCAGCAGCATTGAACCAACCTGAAGGCCTCTGAGAGGTGCTGGCACAGCTAGGGGCTGCTCCAGGCTGCTCCTGCCCTCCCCTGGTCTCCTTCTTGCAGCCATGGTGGAGTAGGGGCTTGAGATGGGAACACTTAGGAATACCTCCCTGCCTCCACCTCCACCTCCTCCTCCTCTTAGGCCAGGCTGGGATGCTGCCATGGGAATGGTGCAGGGGTGCACTGCTGGGCTGGAAGCGGAGCTGCAGAACAGTGTCCTTGAGGGGTCCAGGGCAGGGATTCAGTTTCTTGATTTAAGAGCAAAACCAGCAGGTTTCACAGTGTGGTTAATATTTCATGGGGCCTGCGTGATGCTGAGATGACTTGTGGTTACTGATATGCCTGGCTCCTCTCCCTCTGACGGGGGGAAAAGGGGTGGGCGCAGACAGACGTGGTGAGGACAGGAGGTTGGTAAATGAGGATTCCCAGCCAGGGAGCTGGAGACCCCCGAAGGGAACACCTCCCCTGGCGCTAGAGGGACTCTAGCGCACTGATGTTCAGAGTCACATGCGCGTGCGAGCATGTCGCAGGCCCTGCTTTGCTTCCTGCATGGCTCTGGTAGAGCCCCAGCAAGTGCCTGTGGTTTATCTCAAGCTCTAGATATGCCTGCTTAGATCTTGGCTGGTCCCTCATGCATTGGCCAAGGTTGCGGCATCTTCCCCCAGGGATGTGAGGGACACGGGTGCTCAGGAAACAGGTGTCCCATGTTCCACACCAGGCCAAATTTGCCCCTGCTGTAATCCCCATGGACTTGCACTCAGGGTGAATTTGGCTCCGTGCCCACACTGGCCACAGCCCTGCATCCCGCAAAGGTCCCGTGGACTTTGTCTGACAGGGCTGAGAGATGGGAGTCCTCCCGTGTGAGGCCAAGTGTCCTCTCAGTAACTCAGAAGCTCCCCAGAGGTCAACAGAGTGACCCTGGGGTGAATGCTTGGGGGAGCTGGGACCACTGCAGCCTGCGAGGAGACAGCAGCCTGTACCCTCTCCAATTTGAGCGCCTCTGTGTTTGCATGGATGCTGAGCCCTGGCTCTGCCTCCAGAGCCCAGCGCCGGGACTGGC